AACGCCCCAGGGGGTGCAGGGAGAGAGCTCCACAAAGGAACCAGGCAGGAAGGGAATCGGCTCTCTCAGCACATCAATATTTTATTAGTCATCAGGTGGTTGTTCCTCCTCCAGGCCGAGCACTCCGTTAAATTAAGCATTGCTAATTGAGGAAATAAAATGAATATGGAACAAATGCTGATGTTCTGGCAGAATCCTCTGTCACCCCTGCATACTGTCGCTATAGTGCTGCGCTGACGGGAAGCCACAGGGGCGAGAAACTCAGGGATCCCCCGTACAGCAGCATCAGCACTAAGTCAACAGCTGGGGATCAGGACTGATCCGCAGCCCCCCAGGATGTTGGTGGATGGGGAGGCAGAACCCTGGGCTGGGGACCTGCAGGAGGAGCCACACAAGAACACGCTGCCTGCGTCCCTGCTCCAGCCTCCGGAGAGGCAGTCTGCCCCTCAGGGGTCAACCAGATTCAGAATAAAATGTGCCCCCGCGGCCCCTCAGGGCCAGGAGGTTCAGCGGTGAAGTGAAGGCCAGAGGCAGGCACCCGACACAGACACAGGACGGCCGTGGGGCCACCGGGCTGGGGTCCTGCAGCTTAGCAGAGTAGGTGGGCCTGGGCTTCTGTGTCCCCCGGGAGCCTCTGGGGCACACACAGCTCTCACAGGCTGCTGCAGGACGGGACCCCATCCAGGACAAGAGAGCCCTGGCCCGAGGCCCAGCCTTCCCTGTCTCTCCTCCCTGCTGCTCCCTCGGCCCCCCCTTCAGACACTCCCAACACAGGCGCCCGCCCCGCAGAGACCTTCCGACCCCAAAGCACAGGGATCTGGGAGCCGCTCCACACTCCCAGGCAGGGAAGAGGAGGGACCCAGGCCACTGAGGGGGCCCAGGAGGTGCCAGTGTTGCCCCCCAGCTGGTGAATGTGCTCTCGGGGTAGGAGTGGGGGCAGGGTCTGCACTCAGGGTCACCGCCCTGCAGAGCCTGTGCCCAAGGGGAGCCCCGCAGACCTGGGAGTACCAGCTCCCTTCCCCCAGTACCTTCCCTCTGGATGTAGCCTCGCATCCCAGATAGGGAAACTGAGGCAGGTCCAGGCCCCCAGGCCAGAGGAGGACCCAGAGTCACAGCTGCCTGCCAAACCTCGCCCTCCGCCCCCAGGCCAGCCTCTCCACAGGCTCCCAGAAGAAGCCCCAGGGGACCCTCCCTACCAGCCCCCCTCCTCCCTGCTCCCCCCCCACCCCAGCACCCAGGCCCTCCGCAGAAGCTGCCCATTCACGCCTCCGGCCCCTCCCGAATCCTCCAGGAGCCTCTGCTGTTTCTGCGGGGGTTTCTGCCTTGTTCTCGCTCGCCTTTCCCATGAGATTCTCTCCTCTTTCCTCCGTGTTCCAGGTCCCGGGGGCCCCACCCTCTGCTCTCGCTGCCTCTGCGAGCGCCGTTTCTCCTCTGTCCCCTGCACGGCCCTGACCACCAGCCCCGCCGCCCCTGGGTCTCTCTCTGTGCGTAGCCATGTCAGCTCTTGCAGCGTCTCTCACACGTGTGTGCGTGTGTGCGCGTGTGAGCGGCTGCGTTTGTCTCCATCTCCCTCCCCCGTGTGCGGAGGGCACCTCAGCTGCAAATATGTGAGCAGCGCGGGCCTGCGGGCGGGCTGGGGGCCCAGTGCCTGAGCACTCCAGAGGCCCGGCTCCAGGTCCAGCTGGGGGGGCCATGTGCTGGGGAGACTGAAAGGCCGTGCAGGGGCCAGGAACGAGGAGACCCCCATAGAAAACCAAGAAGGCCCCGACGCCAGGACCACTGACACCATCCAGCCGAAACCGAAGCCATAACAGGAGAAAACAACTCGGCTCCGCGAAAACCAACTTTGTTCCGCCTCAACCCGTTTCCCCTCCTGCCAACCCAGTTTTCCTGCCTGACCTCTCCTCACCCTGTAAAAGGACATGTCCCCCGACAATGCGCCGACTTCAAGGTGGGGGTCGGTGAAGACGCCCGGGGGTGCAATAAATCCCCCCCCCCTTTGAGAAATTTAGCCTGGCTCTCTCCTTTCCTTTACCGCGCCAAACCTTTCATAGACCAGCAGGAGGAGATTCACGGTGAGGCTCAGCACAGCCCCCCACTGTACCCCTTTTACTATCGAGTAAATCCCCAGCCTGTGGGATTTGCTGTGGGAGAAGAACAGCAGGTGCTGGACCCTGGTACCCCGCTGCAGTGTCCAGGGAGCCGCCCCTCCATCTGCACCCTCAGCTCACTCACCTGCAAGCGCCCGGCCCCCCTCACCGTGTCAGCGGCCCCCGTCACCCCGGGGGGCAGCTCCAGGAATCAGCAAGGGGAAACAGAGGCTGGTGCCTACTCAGGTCCTGCTTGGAGTCTCGACATAACACCACCTGCTCCAAGAAGCCCTTCCTGGCGGGCCGCCCCAGCATGCCCTCCCGCCGCCCCGCCTGCCCTGCTCCCCTCGGGGCCGGCCCTCAGCGCTGCCTGCGGCCTCACGTGTACCCTGGGCTGCGTGTTAATCGCCTGTTTCCATGTAAGCTGGCAAGGGCCGCATCTTGCCACCCACCCCCACTAAGTGCCTTGAAGCCCCAGAACAGTTCTTGATACTTGGCATGAGTTTGGCCAACAGTTACCGCATGAGTGGATGAGCCTTGTCGGCGGTGTCAGCAGCTCTGGGTGCACACGGGCTGCTTCCATCATGCCCGGCGCTTCCTCCAGCAGCGCCCCGCAGCCCCGGCTCGCACAGGTGGCAGGTAATTCTGTGTTCTGTGTCCTGTAGGCTGGCATCTCTGGCCTCCACACCCCCCGCTCCCGCCAGCATGAATCAGAAATGGGTCTCCAAGGATCCCAGGTGTGGGGAGAAGGTGGCCAGGCGCCCAGGTTGAGAACCCCTGGCCTGCAGTGTTCACCCCCTCACTGGCCTTCCCCAGGCCTGGGGCTGATTCGGGAGCTAGGCCGCCCGCCAGCGCAGTTCTGCCATATGGCCGGGAGGTGGCAGCAAAGACCACCCTCTCGCTCACAGGGCTGCCCCGCTTTGTGAAACCTTCAGTTCCTGTCTCCAGCCTGGTGATCACCTGCTTTGCACGCGGCTCAGTCACTCACCCCGCACAGCCTGTGAGCAATTTACCTTGATTGCACTTTTCCAGATTTCAAAGAAAGGGATGCAGCAGCAGCCACGCCCTGACCCCACCAGCGGCCGGAAGGCGCGGGTGTGGACCGGGGTGGAGAGAAAGCCATCTTGCCATCAGGCAGTTCCGAACGTCAGTGCTGGCTGCACGCCTTGTTCCCCTCATCCTCAGGTCCATTAACTGCACCTGTCTGTGTCTGAGTTTCCTCACCGGTACCCTGCCTCATGTACGACCACAGTCCTCACCAAAGATCTGTTTCTCAAGCTGTTCTCCCAGCTCTGGCAACTCGGAGGGCAAGGCTCGCCAGGTGGGCATGGAGCCCTCATGCCCAGCTTAATTGCTTTCCAGTGGGTGTTTGAATGACTGACTGACGTGAAAAATAGTGCAATGCCTGGTACTCAATGGGTGTCAGTTCTGATGATCATGCCACCGTGAGGATGAGGATGTCTTCATTTTGACAATGGTTGTCATCATGGGACCCACACCAGTGGTCCCCAAACCTGCTGACCCACTAGCACTCCCCAAGGAGCTTCTTAAACTCAGGGCTCCCAGGCCTCCCCCACATCTCAGAGTCGTTCAGGAACGGTTCTCAGCCTCGGCACCGCGTTGGACTTGTCCTGGCTGGTGCTCTGCCTCATGCGCCGCCACGGGGCTGCTCACCAAAGGTCAGTTTCGCAGGCTGCTCTCCCAGCTCTGGCAGCTCAGAGGGTAAGGCTCGCCTGGTGGGCACAGGGGTGTGTGCATACGTGTGTGCATACGTGTGTGCATCTGTGCACGTGGGCTCTACTTCAGAAACCCGCCCTCCCCAGAGCTTATTAGAAAGGCAAGCTTGGACTTTGCCCCGGAGAATAGGGCTCTGTCAACTCTTCCCCCTCCCATCAGTCCTGGAGCTGAGGGCGCCCTGAGCTCGTGTGGACTGAGGACCAAGGGCGCTGGGGGGCTCATCCCTCTGCGGAAGAGCTTGCAAATGAGTCCCGGCTGCCGCAGGCTGGCGGAAAGCCCGGCCTGCTCATGGAGAGGACCCTTCCCCTCCGCCCTCCGGGCCCTCTGAGAGTTTTAAGTGACACACAGAGCACACTGGGCCCCTGAGTGCTCACGAGGGGTTTCCGTCTCAGCAATGGCTCTATTTTATGTTTTAAAATCGGGCCCCTGCTCGCTGACCAGGGCCGGTCTCGGGCTGGCCCCAGGGCCTCCAGGCCTCCGAGGACAAGGAGGCCCGGCCGCCCCCCGCCCCGCCACCCCCTGGTCACCCCCGGCCTTGGTAGGTCAGGCTCTGGACCAGACATGCATGGACCGGCTGAGTTTAAGAAGCAGCATTCCCTGCCCGGCTGCCGAGGAGCCCAGATCTCTGCTGTCTCCCCCCGAAGGCTGCACTGTGCCCTCCGCCTCGGCTCCAGGTCCTGTAGGACCCCCCAAGTCTGGGGGGTATGAACACACAGAAATCTTATTGCAGCCAGCGGCCATCAGCCCGCTCAGCAAAGCTGTGATCAAGGAGAGAGCACTGTTTGGGGAGCAATGTGCCACTACCTGGCTGTGCACCTTTGTGCAACTCACCTGACCTCTCTGGTCCTCTACTTCCTTCACAAAGAGGAGGAACCTGGGAGGCGCGGTGTCAGGGAGAATGAAATGAAGCCAGAGGATGCACAGAGGTTGCGATCTTTAAAGTTCTGTTTATGATGATGACATTTTTGTTATTTGTTGGTTTCTGGCTCCCTAGGACTCCTCACGAGGGACACACGCATCCCCGCGGCACAGACAGCAGCAGGCGAGCCAGGCCCTCAGCTCATCGGCCCCCCACTCTCGGGCTGGCCCCAGGGCCTCCAGGCCTCCGAGGACAAGGAGGCCCGGCCGCCCCCGGCCGCCCCCCGGCCGCCCCCCGGTCACCCCCGTCCTTGGCTACATGACCTGGTCCTGCCTCCGGCGCAAGCGCAGCACGCGGGCCGCCGACAGGAAGGCCGCCCCGGTGAGCACCTCGGTGACGAAGCTGACCCAGCCCAGGGCCAGCGACCAGCCGAAGCGGATGTCCACCTGCTCCAGGAGCGCCTTCTCCTCCAGCAGACACAGCGCCTCCCTGAAGGCGGCGGCCGAGTAGGCGATGTAGACGCTGATGCCCGCCAGGGTCACCAAGGCTGGGGGGCAGGAGGAGAGGGTCAAGACCTCCCCTCCCCCAAACCCCCTCCCCCCAGCAACCTCTCCCCTCTCCGCCCCCCCACCATCAGTAACTCCCAACCCCCGCCCCCAGCATCTCCTCGTGTCCACTCCTGGGCCTCCCCAAGCACTGCGGCTCACAGCGTCCAGCCCCCCTTCTCTGGGACCTCAGCTCACTCCTGACACCCCCCTAAGTAATGTCTGTCTGCCCCAGGGCTGTGAGCTGCAGGGGCCTCGTCCTGGACTCCCCAGTGCCCAGAGTAGCACCAACACCCAGTGGGTCATCACAGACACGTCCTGAGAGCCGCACTGCCCAGCCCCACAGCCACCGGCCACAGGCGGCGACTGCACCAGTCTCGGCGAGCAGCCCCTGCTCCCCTGCCAGGAGCCAAGGGCTGCCCCGCCCCACCCCCATCCAGCGCTCAGTCCATCCCAGACAGCCCGGCTGGGCAGCGCTGGTGCCCAGACTGGGCCATGGTGAGCCTCTCGTGCCAACAGGAATGATCCCGGGGGCAGGGGACACCAGGGCCTTGGGGTGTTTCCTCCCCAGCTACTCCTCCTACCCCCGCCCCGGGCCCAGGTGTGCATCCTCACTGCCCTGGCTCCGTTAAGGAGGGAAGCTGGGCAGCAGCAGCCCGGTGTGCTGGGCCCCCCTGGAAGTCTCTGGTCTTGGTCAGCCTGTCTTTCAACCCTGAGGCCCTGCTGGTGAGAGCAGCAGGCTGGGGGAGAGAGGAGGGGCCGCCAGCCGGCAGCCCAGAGCTGAAGCCGGCTCCTCGAGGTTTCTTCGGGAAATCGTGAGAGGGGCCCTCAGAACCGGCCCCGCCCTCGGCTTCTCCTGGGACACACACCCCGGACCCCGAGCTGGAAATCTCTCTCCCCACCAGCAGGGGTGTCGCCAATGGGACGCTGAGACGAGAGGTGATGCCCCCCCCCCACGCCGTGGGACCTTGAGCCCCCAACATGGGCACCTACCTCCAAAGAGGAAGAGTGTCCCCGTGAGCAGCAGGAGGAGGGAAGCTCTCAGGAGGAAGCTCAGAAACCCCGTCATCCCCCCAAAAACCATCAGGATCAGGCTGAGCGGCAGCAAAATCACAAAGGTCCCATGCATGGCTTGGAAGAGAGGAGAGCGGGCTGAAAAGGGGCACTAACATCCATCAGTCAATCAACAAACATTCACAGAGCACCTCCCCCTGGCCAGCACCTGCATGCTGGGGAAGCGATGAACAGGGCCGCTGCTGCTCATTATCAATGATCACAATAACGCCAGCCCTTGAGGTCCTTCGGGCACCAGGCCTCACCAGGCCTTTGCGATCTAAGCTTCGCCCTGCTTGTTTCCCCCGCGCCTTTGCAGGTAGGTGGCCCTCAAGCAAAAGGGCAGGAAGGGAAGGGTGGCGGGCTGGGGGGGAGCCCATCCCTCTCAGACAGTGGCGGAGCCAGGATAAGACGTGGAGGCAGCGTCTGGATGGGCCACATGGCCGAGAGCCAGGGGAGGCTGGACCCTGCGTGAGATGGGGCAGAGCCGCAGGCTTCATCTTCAGGCTCCCGGGGCCTTTCTGGCTGCTGTGCTGAGAGTAGCCGGCATGGTGCACTGGAAGACAACGCCCACGTCCACGACCACGTCCACAGGGTAGCCTGGGGTGGTGGGGGGACGCTGTGACTGCACCCTCCTTTGGAACAAGAGTCTCAGATGAGGTAGGTTCGGGGACTGCAGATGAGGGCAGCCTGCGTGCGAGGGGCCCTGCCCGGTCACGGTGTTCTTGGAAGAGAGAGGGGTGGTGGCGCGGGGGTGGGCAGCAGCTGCTGCAGACCCAGGGACGGAGTGGGAGGGGCCTGGCACGGTCTCCCTAGAGCCTGTGGGGGGCTGCACACACCTTGATTTTGCATCTGGTGGGCTGTGCCACAAGCCCGGGACGTGGTCGCTTCTCAGCCGATTAGAAAAAACTAAGGGGAGGAATCTGGCTGGGGAGGGGAGATCACGGGGGTCAGGGCACCAACGCTGGTAAGGGGAAGGGGGGTTGCCAGGTCGAGGAGGTGGGGGCGAGGCACGCTCAGGCACCAGGTGTGTGGAAGGCAGGATTGGCGAGGGCTTTGCAAGGGTGTGAGAACCAGAACAGGTGACAGTGAGATCCAGGCGTGAGACCCCAGGGAAAGAGCATGGAGAGAGCCTAGGGTTTCAAGATCTCAAGATCTAAATATGTGCCCACACGGTGGTGTGGAGCTTCCCAGCAGCCAAAGCTAAAAGGGCAGCACTACCCTACTTCCCTCTTCTCCTTCTGAGCAGGCTCAGCATCGTTTCTTCTAGAGAGTCCTTCCTTGCCCTCATACCCACCCAGTGCCCAGCTCCAGTGTCTTCCTCTGCATCCTCTCAGGGTCACCCAATCCTGGCACGTGTGGCCTATGGTCACGGCATCCATCACTCTTCTGTGTCACCTGTTAGGACGTGGGTTCTGTGACATGGGCAACCTCGTCTCCCCTTTACAACTTGGCAGGGCTTGATGCGTGGGCAATAGGTTTTTGTCCACCTAAGAACATGGCAGTGTTGTTCTAAGACACACACACACACACACACACACACACACACAGAGTGGATAAAATGCAGGCTGTAGAACCAGCTGCTCGGCATGCTCACTGGCCGCTGCTATGGGCCCGTGGCAGCTTGCTGACACCCCCAGAACCCCACTTCCACACCCGCATCGTGGAGGCAATGCTGCCAGCTTATGCTGTTACCACTAGAACAGTCTGTGCCAAGACAATGAAGCAAAGTGGGGTAGCAAGCGAGGCTGGGCACTGAATAAACAACCCTGCCCTCAACAAGGATGCGGGTTTCCAGCCCCTAAATGCCACGGACCTCGGGGAGCAGGGCGACCAGACTGGTCTTCCTCCAGGACCGTCACACAGGGTCAGGATGTGCGTCCCTCCTTGCCTCCCTCCTGCCTGCCTTTTCTAAGGAAAAAGTCTTGGGCAAGAAAGAATAAATAAGCTGGCGTGATACCTATAAATGGTCCCCTGCACAGCGTCGCCGCCAGACTATAGCTAAGAAATGAAATTATTTCTCATTAAGAAATTAATGAGGTTTCCCGGAGTTGGTGCAGCCCGGCAGCCTAGAGTGTGAGCGCCGACAAGCTGCAAGCAGACTTGATGTTCTATTAGATGTCTGGGGAAGAGCAGGCACCCAGGGGAGGGTTGTAAAACCTCCTGCTGCGATCCGGCTCAGGTACCCACACGCATGCACACACCTGAGCCTTTGTTGTTTTATTTCCAAGACCACAGTCCTGGAACCTCACAGTTGCTGGGCTGTGCTGCCTGGAAGTGTCCCCGCGCCCGCCCACACCCCTGGAGGAAGCAGTGGGCCTGGACACAGCTCCCCGAGGGGGACGGGGGATGTGTTCCACAGAGTGCATTTCCAGAGGGAGGCGGGGTGGCTAGGAGGGGGCGGAAGTGCAGTGGGGAGCAAGAGGGTTTGTCTCCAAAAGACCACTTAACTGCACCCTAGCCCAGAATTCATACCCTGTGGGAAGGAAAAATCCTTCCCATTCACTTCCACATACTAAATTCAGCAGATGTGCGCATGGCGTGGCGGTCGGTCCTGTGCTGAATGCTGGTGCAGGGATAAAGATGAATAATTCACAGGCAGTTGGTCTCTGGTGGCCACGCTCACCGCCCACCAGAGCCATCATCGTCTACAATCAACCATGCATTGTTAATCAACCATCTTCATACCCTCGGCCTTCCTCAAATGTCAGTCCCATCACCTGCCAACTGAGGGTCTTTACACCCTACTCTGTCACCCTTCAAACCTCCCATGCACACTGATAAGATACGAAGCCACCCTACAAGCCACGCCCAGGATGGAAATTCCACCAATCACTGCCTAACTTTCCACCAATCACAAGAGCACAGAAAGCCTCCTTTGCATAAAGCCAATCTACCCCTCCCCTTTTGCTTATATAAGCAGGTCCTTGCAGGGCTCCTCGGAGGGTTAGCTCACTCATGAGCCTGCTGAGTTGCGGGAGGTCCTCTGGCTGTAAGCCTGAAATCCCAGATATCAATGGAATAAAGGTGTGTTGTGATATGACTGTTGTAACAGGAGAATTGAGCACTGCAACACACTTGAGCTGTAACCCAGTTAGACTGCCTGTGGCTGTGGGTACGGTCATCGGGCACACAAGGGCATGCAGAGCAAGTGTCTAGGATCCCTGCCCTTGTGGAGTCCAGTACAGGACCCAGATATCGGGGAAGCAAGGAAACAGAAACAGTGATGTGTGCCGAGATCATAAGCATGAGGTGGTAAATGGCGGGAGGGGAATTCTTTGGATAAGATGGCTGCACTCACTTTCTCGGTCACTGTAAAAAAGTCCTATCAGCTAGGTGGCTTAAGAGCAGCAGGAATGTAATCTCTCATGGTTCTGGAGCCCATAAATCAAGGTGTCAGCAGGGGTCCAAGGGCGAGTCCTTCCTGGCCTCTACTAGCACCTGGCAGTTGTCACACATCACTTGGCTTGTGGCCGCATCATTCCAGTCACCCCCTTCATCTTCATGTGATCTTCTCTGCAATTCTCTTCTTATAAGAACAAATGTCATAGGGTTTAGGGCCCATCCAGCTTATCCAAGATGATCCCATCTACGGATCCTTAACACAATCTGCAAAAATGCTTTTCGAAGTAAGGCTGAATTCACAGGCACCAGGGCCTAGGACATGGACACACCTTTGGCAGATGGCACCTTCCAACCCGCTGCAGTGGATTCACAGGGGCTCAACAGATGAGCGCTGAAGTTTTTAAATCCAATTAAAAATCATTATAGTGTTAGCAGCTAATGGCTTCATCAAGGGCAAAGGCGTATCCAAGAGAAGAGATCTTTTTGACTCACTTTTTTGTTGCAAGGGAAGAACAAGCCAGGGAGAAGCAATGGTGTTTACACTAAGGAAACTGCTTGTGGCTCTTCCATTAGCGGAGTGTTCAAAGAACAGCACCAAGAGAAAACCAGGCCCCTGCATGCTTGTGAGGTCAGGAAGTCCCCGAGTGGCTAGCGAAGTAATAGTTCTGCTCTTAAAAAGAACAGGGACGCATCCTTCTCCAGACACTTCAAAAGCTCTGACAAAGGAAGAAAGTCTCAGAACCAATTTCCCAAAGGGGAAAATGTCACTGCCTTTATTTTCAAACCTTGTCAATGTGACTCTGAGACTCTAAGGCAGGCTCCGAGGTACTCAGTTCTATTATGCCTGGTAAGGAAATGGATTTTTTAAAAATTTTGTCAGTGTTTGCCCTCGTGTCTGTTTTCACTGGAATATAGTCCCCTTAGTTATCATCGTAGTGACCAAGGTGTGCTGCTGTGATATAAAAAGATTAAATGTCTACAAGCTAAGACGCAAATTCATATCCCAACCTCACCTCTTATTAAGCAAACCACAGCATCCATCAAAAGCCCGTTTCCTCCCCATTAGCTGGACCACAGCTCTGACCTGGCCAAACCGCCGTGAGTGCTGAATGGAAGAACAGGCTTTGCTTTCCTGTCCCCACGCATCTGAGGCAGGTAGGAGTTGGTAATTCCAATTTTGCAGATGAGAAAACTGAACTTCAAGCTCTTATGCTGGTTGCTCCAAATGGGCCAGAAATCGTCAGAACTGGAAAGAGGCTGACAAGGTGGAGCAGAGGCTGCAGCAGAGGGTGCTCTGCCCCTCCTGGAAGTCAGGAAGGGCTGGGGGTGAGAGGGAGCCCACTGCTGAGCCCTGAAAGTAAGGTGAGGCCAAGTTCACTGGGTTGAGAAGTGGGGGCCGGTGTTCCAGAAGAGGGGACAGAAGCAGTCAGGAGGCATGGCGACATCTCAGCCTTTGCAGCTGGAGAGGTGGCAGAGGCCACACACAGACTCAAGAGCCACACTGAAGCCCACCTCTAGGTCAGCCCTGCTGGAGTTTGTTTTATAGCAATGCACAATAATATTCTTAGAAAAAAAAATAAATCAAGACCCTTTCGACACCCACCTCTACTCTTTCTTCCATTCCTCCCAGAGTGAACCTCTCTAAATGCTTGGCTATACCTCGTCCCAGCTTTCTCACCTGTATTTATACACTTATCAACATGTCTACATATTTCTCTAATTCTGAGGTGTGTGCCGGAGACACCTGGACACATCTGAAAACAGGACACTTTGACGAGGCACAGCATCTCACCATTATAACTGCCAGTGCGGCTGTCTTTCTTAAGAGCATAGAAAATCAAGCTGCATCTTAAAGCCTGGCATGGAGCCATACAAAAGGTCTGATGTGGGGAGTGGAGGCAGAGATAACCCACAGCATCATACTGCCCATAACACTCTCTGACTTGCTTTTATTCATTCCCCAGCTTAAAGTTCTATCCCAGGAGGCTGTTCTTTTTACTGACCACATAATATTCCACAGACGGGCTGTATCACATGTAAAAGTTTAACCATCATTCCATCCATAGGCACTGACTGAGGGTGTATCTTGTTTTTTACTGTTTCTAAAGTGATAGGGTGAACCACTTTTAAGAAGCCTCACGTGGTATACCAAGAAATAAAATTGCTTTGAATGTGATGTTTTTTATTTAAAATGTGTGCGTGACTTTCCACGGGCACTCCGGGAGGCAGCCTGAAACCTGGGTCTTCCTGCCTGGAGGGGCCGCGAGGGCAGGAAATGCTACATCTCTGCCTACAGCAGCCGCACTCCCAGCACACTGAGCACCCCCTCTGGACCCAGGCCACCACTCGATGCATAATGTCCCCAGTCCCATATCCATTCCTGTCCCTTCCACCTCCATTCTCGCAACCTGCCCCAGCTTTTCCCTTTCCACGCTGCTCCGTGTTCCGGCCCCCAGAAAGGCAGGAAAGCCAACCTTGCGATTTTTCAACTTCACCTTCTTAGAGAAAGACCCGGCCATTACTAGCGGTGTTTTTTGGCAGGACAACCAGCCTGCCCTTCCTCCTGGGCTCTTAGACCAGCTGGCAGAAGGCATGGGGAGCAGAAGGGGTGCCTCTGAGAGGCCCTTTCTACACTGCCCTCCAGAAACATCCCTGCTTTCTCTGGAAAGCCAGCCCTGCCCCGGGCTCTGCCCTGTGTCCCTCCCCTACCTGTCTGCAGCAGGCATCGGGGGCTATGACCCAGGCCTACTGGGGGTTCTGCAGGAAGGTCGGGAAAGAGAAAGACCTTCTGCTGGAGTTGCTAAAGCTGGAGAGGATTAAATGAAGGCAGAACTCAAACAGGAAAGGCCACAGAGAAGAACAAAATCGAGCTTATTTCTCTAGATGCCAGCAGGCTTCAGCTTTCCTGGTCCATAGGCCGGTAATTGTTTGCAAAGGTGTGATTGGGTTTCTGTGACTTGCCACCAAAAGACTCCTGGCTGATCTAGCTAGCCTGGCTGATCTAGCTAGCACTAGATTGTGACTCTATCCACACTGTGCTGAATCTGATGATT